TAATGTGAGAATATGGTGATGGGAATGTCTTCATGCGAAGATGGCGTGAAGATCCATTTCCTTGTGATGGAAGTGTGAATGCCGGGTCCTCATATAATGGAATGGTGAATGATGTGTCCACTCTTAGTTGAAGTCTGGCCACCTTCTGCACATCTGATGAGGTGGTGATTGATGTGTTGTAGTGTTAGGGCTGGGTAATTTCAAGGTCTTCACATTGCAGTAGGGTGAAGGTAGGTCTTCATGAGATGGAAGGGTAAATTCCCTGTGCACATACATGGAAAGCTGGACCCTCTCACATCACGTGTTGGAAGTTTGAATGTGGTGTCCTCATTGAATGGGAATGGGAATGTCTACCTGAAAACTTGAGAGAAGAACAAAGGCTCCATATTCGTTGAGGGAAGGTTGAAGGCCCTATTCTTTGTGGAGGGGTACACACTCACTTGAACTGTGAGTGAATGAATGTCATCTCCTCAATTAATAGAATGGAGAAGTCCATCTGGATTGTGGGCAGAAGGACATTTTCCCTTTAGAGTATTTGAATTCCCAATTCACAAAAAGGGAAGTGTGAACACAATCTCCAATATATTCTGAAGGACTTTCACACAGAACTTAGGTAAAGAAAGAAAAATGGCTTCTCTTTATCTGACAGAAGGATGAAGGCCATGTTGCATAGTGATAAGATGGTGAAGGCTAAGTTCTTATGTAAAGAGAGCATGCAGGTCCTTTTCTCTCATATTGAAAGTGTTGTTGCACACTCCTTGTTGGATAACAAGGTGAATGCTGTGTCATCTATTAATCAAAGTCAAATCACACTGTAAGTATCTGATAGAATGATGATTGTTGTGTTGTGAGATAAGGGCTGTGTGAATACAGGGTCCTCACATCACAATAGGGTGAAAGTCCTGTTGTCATGTGCTGGAAGGATGAATGCCCTGTCCTCAGCTATGACAAGGTGAATCCTGTCAGACACATGTTAGAAGTTTGAATGTGGTGTCCTCATTGATGTGAATGTGAATGTGAATGATTTATCTTCACCTCCTTAAATATGGAAGTTCCTGTCCTCAACCGAGGGACACTGAACACATTTTCCTCATGGGGTGTGTGTTTGTGTGTGGGGGTGAACTCTGTTCTCAGCTGATGGAAGGGGACTGCCCTTCCTCACCTGAGGGAAAGCCGGGCAGCCTCATCTGATGTGTCAACAGGAGGAATGTCATGTCCTCATATGGTGACAGGGTGAAGATCTTGTCTTCATGTGAAGGAATGGTGAGTGTCCTGTCCTCAGAAGAGGAAAACAAGGTGATTATTTCACTCATGGTGGAAGGGTGAAATCCATTTTTCTTGTAATGGAAGTTCTTATGCCCTGTACTCATTTGATTGGAATTTGAAAACACTGTGTTTATCTGGTGGAAAGATAAATGTATTTGTAAACCTGATAGAAGAAAAAGACTTCTTAACTGAAGGGTAGATGAACACCCTATTCTTTGGGGATGGAACGACATTGATTTGAACTTTGCTGTGAGAATATGACTGCTGTCTTCTCACTTCATGGAATGGTGAAGTGCATTAGGTAAATGGATTGAAGGCCATCCTCCATTTAGAAATTTTGAATGCCATCTTCACCCATAGGGAAATGTGAGCACACTTTCCATTATAATCTGAAGAATGTTCATCTAGCTGAAGAAAATAAAATACCTTTTATTCACCTGACAGAAGAGTGAGGGCTGTGTTATGCTGAAAGCAATGTACTGATGTGGAGATTGCAAGGAAGTCCTATTCTCTCATGATGGAAGGATGAATTCAGAGTCTTTATGGAATGGTATGGTGAATTGACATTTGATCACCTTCTATGCCCCTGACATTATGGTGATTTATGTGTGGGTGTTAGGGCTGAGAGAATTCAGCTTCCTTACATCGTAACAGGGTGAGGGCCTCGTTTTCATGTGATGGAAGGTTACATGCTCATCATCAGACAAAAAGAGGTGAACCCTGTCCTGCCAAATGTTAGAAGTTTGAATGTTATGTCTTCATTGAATGGAAAGGTGAAAGGCCAGTCTGCACCTAATAGAAGACAGAAGGTCTTGTCCTCAGCTGAGAGAAGAATGCCCTCATTTTCCTCACATGTTTGAAAGATGGACTCTGTGTTCTCAAGTCATGGAAGGGGAATTTCTGTCCTCACCTGAGGGAATTGTGGGCAGCCACATCTGATGGGTCAGCAGGATGAATGACTTGATCTCCCATGGTGATGTGTGAAGACCATGTCTTCATGTGAAAGGACAGTTACTGTCCTGCCCCCAGCAGAATAAATGGAAGGTGGGTTCTTCACTATAGGGAAGGGAGAATGCCATTTTGTGTTGTGATGGTAGTGTTAATGTTCTGTCATCACATGATCAAAGTTTGAATGAACTTTGTTTATATGATGGGAAGATGAATGTACCTTATAATTTGGAAGGAAGCGTTAAGGCTCTGTCATCACTGAATGTAAGGCTGAATGTCCTATTCTCTGCAAAGGGAAAGACTTTCTTGTGAAATCCTCTGAGAATTTGCCTCTTCACCTAACCAAGTGAGAACTCTGTTTCACCACTGCCATGAGAGGGAAACTCCACATTCTCATGTTTGAGAATATGAATGCCCTCTCCTCATAACCAGAATTGTGAAACAAAAAATGTCGACTTCAGACTGAAGAATTCTGAGCCAGTACTTACCTAAAGAAGGCAAAATGTCTGGTCGTCATCTGAGCAAAAGATGATTGACATCTTATAATATGAAAATATGGTTAAGAGAATGTCTTCATGTGAAGATAGCAGAACAGCCTATTCTCTCGTGATGGAAGCGTGAATACAGATTCCTCATGTAATGGCATGGTGAATGCTGTGTTCTCTTGTAATTGAAGTTGGACTCCCTTCTGCACATCTGATTGAAAGGTGATTGATGTGTTGTCATGTTACAGCTGGATGAATTCAGGGTCCTCACATTGCAGTAGGGTGAAGGCCTTGTTGTCATGTGCTAGAAGGATGAATGCCCTGTCCTCAGCCATGGAGAGGTGAACTCTGTCACCTCACATGTTGGTTGTTTGATTGTGGTGTCCTCACTGAAAGGGAAATGAATGGCTTGGTGGTATGGGGAAGATCCTCATTCAATGGTGGAAACATGACTACATTTTGTTTACATGTTGGAATGGCAAACTCTGTTAGCTGATAGAAGAGTATTGTCTCTCCTGACCTGATGGATGGCTGGCCGGCCTCATCTGAAGTGTGAGCAGGATGAATTTCATATCCTCACATAGTGACCCAATGAAGAGCATGTCTTCATAGGAAGGGACGGTGAGTTTCTTTTCCCCCATAGAAGAAACGGAGGATTATTTGTTCACTGATGAGGGATACAGCAATGCCATTTTGTTTTATGGAAATGTTAACATCCTGTACTCATATGTTTGAATTTTGAATGACCTGTGTTTATCTGGTAGAAGGATAAATGTATGTAAAATCTTGAGGGAAGAGTAATGACTCTGTCTTCACTGTAGTGAAGGTTAAAGCCCTATTTTCTGCAGAGCAGAAGACATTCACTTGAAGTCCCCTTTGAGAAAAGGAGTGTCATATTGTCAGTCAAGGGAATGGTGAAGCCTATTTTATCACTGATTGAAGGACATTCTTCCTTTGGAAAATTTGAATTCCCTCTCAACATAAAGGTAAATGTGAACACCATGCCCACTAAGTATGAAGAAGTATCACATAGAGCTTAGCTAAAAGCCAAATGCCTTCTCTTCTGACAGAGGAGTGAATGCCATGTTGTGATGTGAGAATATGGTGAAGGGAATGTCTTCATGTGAAGATAGCAAGGAGGTCCTGTTCTCTCAAGAAGTAAGAGTTAATGCAGATTTCTTGAGTGATGGCAGGATGAACACTTTGTCCTCTGCATATCAAAGTTAGAGCATACTGTACATATCTGACATAATGGTGATTGGTGTGCTGACATGTAAGTTCTGGGTGACTGCAGGGTCCTCACATCACAATAGGGTGAAGGTCTTGTTATGTGATAGAAGGATAAAAATCCTATCTTCATGATGGATGCATGGATGTAGTGCCCTCATTGATGGGAAAGTGAATGGCGAGCCTGCACCTGTCCTCTGCTGGGGGATGGAGAACACATTATTCTCAACTTGTAGGAGATTCTGTCATCCCTGGCAGGAAGACTGGGTACCCTGTTCTATGTGGAGAGAGGCATTCTCGTGACCTATCTTGAGAGATAGTGAATGTCATTTCCTACCCTCATGGAATGGTGAAGTCTGTTTCATCACTGGCCATAAGGTGAACTCTGAATCATCATGTGAGAGAATTTGAATGTCTTGTGCTCACAAAGGAAAGTGCAAACCCAGTGTCCACTACAAACTGAAGAATTATCAACCAATACTTAAAGAAAGCGAAAGCCCAACTCCTCGTTTGACAGAAATAATAAAGGCCATTTTATAATGTGAGAATATGGCGACGGGAGTATCCTCTTGTGAAGATGGCCTTAAAATTCCTGTTTCCTCGTGATGGAAGGGTGAATGCAGAGTCCTCATGTAATGATGTGATGAATCTTCTGTTCTCTCCTAATTGAAGTTTGAACACTCTGTGCACTCCTGAGGGGACAGTGATTGATGTGTTGTCCTATGAGGGCTGGGTGAATGCAGGTTCCTCACATCACAGTAGGGTGAAGGTCCTGTTATCATGTGATGGAAGGATGAATGTCTTGTCCTCAGCCATGTTGAGAAGGACCCTGTCACCTCACATGGAGGAAGTCTGAACGTGGTATCCTCAATGAATGGGAAGGTGAATGGTCTCTTTGGACCTGAGGGAAGAGGGAAATTCCTTTCCTCAATTGAAGGAAGCATGAACACATTTTCCTCACATGTTGAAAGGGTAGATTGTTCTCATCTGATGAATGGGGAATGTGCTTCCTTCCTTGAGAGAAGAGTTGGAAGCCTCATCTGTTGTGTAACAGGATGAATGTCTTGTCCTCTCATGGTGACAGGGAGAAGATCATGTCTTCATGTGCTGGCATGGTCAGTGTCCTGTACTCAGCAGATGAAAGGTAGCATGGTTTCCTGAGTTATAAGGTTAGAGTGTATGCCATTTTGTCCTGTGGTGATAGTGTTAATGCCCTTTCATCACATGATGGACATTTGAATGTCATGTGTTTATTTGGTGGAACACTAGATGTACTTTACAATCCCGGGGAAAGAGTAAATGCTCTGTCCTTGTAAGACTGAATGTCCTATTCTTTGCAGATTAAAGGACATTCATTGGAATTCTCCTTTGAGATAGTAAATGCCTTCTCCTCACTAATTAAGACTGATGCCTTTTATCACTGGACAGAAGGGCAACCATGGCATTCTCATTTTAGAGAAGTTGAATGCCTTCACTCTGAGGGAAGCGTTAATGTCTACTTGTTCACTTGTGACTGAAAATTATCACCCAGTAATCACCTGAAGAAGGCCTTGTGCCTTCTCCTTCTCTGAGTTCAGGGTGAAGGGTGAAGACCATATTACAGTGTGAGAATATGGTGAAGGGAATGTCTTCACGTGAAGATACAGGTCTTGTTCTCACATGATGGAAGGGTGGATGGAGTGTCTGCAGGTAATGGTTAAAGGTGAGTATTCTTTTATCCTGTTGGAAGTTTGAGCAGCCTCTGCCCTTGTGATTGAAGGATGATTGATATGTGTCATGTTATGTCTGTGTGAATGCAGGTTCCTCACATCACAATAGGGTGAAGGTCTTGTCATGTGATGGAGGGATGAATGAGTTGTCCTCAGCCATGGAGAGGTGAACTCTGACACCTGAAATGTTGGAAGTTTGAATGTGGTGTCCTCATTGAATAGGAAAATGAATGTCTTTTCTGTACCTGAGGAATGAGGGAGGGTCCTGTATTCAACTGATGGATGCATGAACACCTCTTTTTTAAAAAAAGATTTATTACTTGAAAGACAGAGAGGTAGAGCTAGAGTGAGAGTGAAAGTGAGAGCAAGAGCAAGAGAGAGAGAGAGAATTCTTCAATCTGCTGGTTCACTCCCCAAATGACCACAATGGCCAGAGCTGAGCTGATCTGAAGCCAGGAGTCAGGAGCTTCTTCTGGGTCTCCCACGTGGGTTCAAGGGCCCAAGGACTTGGTCCATCTTCTAATGTTTCCCAGGCCATAGCAGAGAGCTAGATCACATGTGGAATGGCTGGGACTCGAGCCAATGCCCATATGAGATGCCTGCACCATAGGCCAGACTTTAACTCTCTGAGCCACAGTGCCAGTACTGTGTGGACACCATTTCCTTACCTAGTTGAAGCATGAACTCCCTGTTCTCAGCTGATGGAAGGGGAATGGCCTTCTTCTTCTGAGGGAAGATGGGCACATCATTTTTGGTGTCAGTAGAGTCAAAGCCATGTCTTCATATGGAGATAGGTGAAGATCAGGTTTTCACATGATGAATGTTAGATGCCCCATCCTCTACATGGGAAAAGGAGGATGGCTTCTTTACCTATGAGGGAAGAGTAAGTGCTATTTTATCTCGTGATTGTGATGTGAATGCCTAGTCCTCACATGATGAATGTGCGAATGCCCTGTTTAACTGTTGGGGTGATAGAAGTATTTTACAATCCTGAGGGAAGAGTAAAGGCTCTGTCTTTGCTGGATGCAAGGCTGCGTGTCCTATTCACCATTTATGGAAGTTCACTTATTTGAACTCTTCTGTGAGATACAAAATGCCTTCTCATCACCTAATAGAAGGGTGACATCTTAGTCTTGTCAGGACAGAAGGGCAAACATGTTCTGTTCCTTTTAAAAAAAATTATATGTTATGCAAGTTTCCTATATTTCACAATACAGCTTTAGAGAAGGCAATGTTTTAATGAAAGAACAGGTGCATGGTGTGTCCTCATGTGAAGATAGCAAGAAAGTCTTCTAAGCAGGATCCTTAGCAATGTAAGTGAATGCTGTATCCTTTCCAAGTAAAAGACTATGCACTCTGTGCATATCCCATGGAAGTGTGATTGATGTGTTGTCATGTACATTCTGGGAGAGTGCAGGGTCCTCACATCACAATAGGGTGAAGGTCATGTGATGGATAGGTGGATGCTCTGTCCCCCACTATCTAGAGGTGAAGGCTGTCATCTCACATATCTGACCTTTGAATTTGGTGTCCTCATTGGATGGCCTGCCTTCACCTGATGGAAGAGGAAGGTCCTGCCCTCAAACTGAGGTAAACATGAACACATTTTCCTCACATGGTAGAAGGGTGAGTTCTGTGTTCCCAGATCATGGTAGGGGAATGTCCTTGCTACCCAAGGGAAGTGTGGACACCTTGATGTTTCTTGTCAGTAGACTGAAAGCCATGTCCTCACATGGTGAGAGGTGAAGATCAGGTGTTCAAATGAAGGATTGGTGAATTCCCAGTGCTTGACTAAGGAAAGGGATAGTGTCTTGTTCATACATGTGGGAAGGGTGAGTGCCATGTCTTTACCTGATGGAAGTGGTAATGCCATTTCTTCTTGTGATAGCGTTGTTAACACTCTGTCATCACACAATGGAATTTTGAAGGTCATGTCTCCATTTAGTGGAATGGGAATGCTGTTTCTCACACTTAGGGAAAAGTGAATGTGTTTTCTTCATCTGAAGGAATGCTGAGTGCCTTGTTCCATGATGATGGAAGGATAATCACATGAACACTCCTGTGGGATAGCAAACACCATCATTTCTCCTAATGGAATGGTAAAGAAAGTTTGTCATATGAGTGGTGGGGAAGTTCAGGGTTCTCATATGATGATAGAGTGAAGTACATGTAGGCCTATTATGGAAGGATGAACAAGCTGTCATGGGCATAGAGAGGTGAACCCTGTACCCTAGCATGATGAAAATTTGAATGCTCTGTCCTAATTATGACATCAGGGAGGTGAAGGACCTGATGGAAGAGTGAAGATCTGATTGTCAACAGGAACATGAATGCAGTTTCTCCAGCTCATAGGAGAGTGAACTCTGTTGACTCAGCTGATGGAAGGTATAATGTGCTTTCTTTATGTGAGGGATGGGTAGACTCCCTCATCTTATGGTTAAGTAGGTTGAAAGGTGCATCCCTTCATGGAAGGGACAGAATCTATGCTGATAGAAGAGTAATCAGTAGTACACTCCTGTGAAAATATTACCAGCTTCTGTTCACCTAAAGGGAGAAGTCTGACCTCGCTGGAGTGAAGAGCAAACGCCATGTTCCAAGCTTACAGAATTTGAATGCCTTCTCATGGAGGGCTGTGGGAGCATCCAGTCCTCTACCAAATGAAATATTGTCATCAGTGTTCACCAGATGGAACTGTGAATACCTTCTCACCAGATGGCATGTTGGAGGCCATGTCCTAATGGGGCAGTAAGGTGAATTTCATATTAGGTGAAGATAGGGTGAAGATCCTGTCCCCTCATGTGATAGAGGGTGAATGAAAGGTACTCAGGTGATGGTAAGTGAATTTCCTGTTTCCCCTGATGGAAAGCTCAATGCTCCTATGAGAAGGTGAATTCTGTGTACCCAGCCAATGGAAGAGGAAGCATCCTTTCTTCACTTGAGGGAAGGTTGGACATCTTTATCCTATGTCTGTAGAGTGAATATAGTTTCCTCAAGGGGTGATAGGGAGAAGGTCATGTCTTTATGTGAGAGAATTCTGAATACCCTGTCCTCAGTAGAAGGAAAGGAGAAGGCCATGTTGTTGCCTGATCGACATGTGAATGCCATTTCACCTTGTGATGGTAAGGTTAACATTCTTCTCACAATGGAGGGTGAATGCCGTGTCCTCACCTGGTGGAATGGTGAATGCCCTTTCCAATCCTGAGGGCAGAGTAAATGCACTCTGCTCACCTGAGGGAAATGTGAATGCTATATACTCTGCTGATGGAAGAGCAATCATTGTGCTCACCTGTGGGATGGAACACCTTTCCTCAGAAAATGGAAGCGTGAAGTTTGTGAACTCAGCAGGCAGAAAAGCAAGCACTGTGTTCTCAATTTACAAAAGTTTGAAAGGCATCTCCTGAGGGAAATGTGAACACCCTGTTTGCTGGATTATTCTAACCCAGTACTCACTTTCTTCTCACCTGACAGGTTGTAGGTCACTTCCTAATGTGATTGTAAGATGGGTGCCATGTCCCGACATGAAGGCCTGGTGGAGGTCTTGTCCTGATGTGAGGTCTGAGTGTATGTGCAGTGCTCAGGAGATGGTAGGGAGAATGTCCTGCCCTTGTCTGCTAGAAAGCTGAAGGCCCTGTGCCAGTCTGATGGAAGGGTGAAGGAAGTGCCATGTGAGTGTCAGGTGAGTGCTGGTTCTGCACTTGATAATAGGGTCAAGGCTACTTGGTCACACCAACAGAAGGGTGACTTCTCTGTACTCCACTGTGGAGAGGTGAGCCCTCTGCCATACATGATGGAAGTGGGCAGGTGAATGCCTTCATTGCACCTGAAGGAAGGATGAAGGTCCTGTCCTCACCTGAGTGAGGTGTGACTGCAGTTTTCTCACCTGATGAGGGAACTCTGTGTAGGCAATTGATTGAAGGGTGAATGTCCTTTCTTCACCTGAGGGCAGGGTGGACACCCTTATTTCATGTGTAAGTAGGAAGCAAGCCATGTCCTAACATGATGCAGATCATGTGAAGGAATGTTGACTGTCATGTCTTTGTTCTAGTTGATTTGTTCTCAGAGGATTCATCCTGAGAGGAGAAGTGTGGTGAGGGCAAGAGGCTCAGAGTTACCACACAGACCCTGGGAGTTGGGTGAAAACAGGCCAGAGGGGAGCAGCACACAGACTCATTTATTTAAGTTGCTACAGCTGCTTATATATCCAAGGCAGCCAATCTGCTCAAGAAGCGGTCTATGCCCTAACCAATCACAGCCTATTGCCAGGCAGTTTCCAAAGCCATCCAATCACAGCTTGTTGCCAGCCAGGCTCTGTTGCCAGGCAGTTTCTGAAACCATCCAATCACAGCCTGTTGTCAGTAGGCTCTGTTGTCATGTGGTTTCTGAAGCCATCCAAGCATGGCCTGTTGCCTGGCAGTTTCTGTTGTCAGTGGCCATCTTGGCATGACTTTTTCACCTTCTCATGACCTTATCACCTTCTCATTCCACCACATGTCTTCAAGTGCAGGGCAGGAGGGCCAATGTCATGTCCTCACCAGATGGAATGCCATTTCATCTTTTGGTGCTAGGGTTAACACGCTGTACTCACTTGATGGAAGGGTGGATGCATGTCTTCATCTATGGAATGGTGAATGCACTTTCCAGTCCTGTGGGAAGAGTAGACACACTGTGCTCACATGAGAGAAATATCAATGTCCTCTTCTCCCTTCAACTTTGCTGTGGGATTCTGAACAGCTTTTCCTCACCAAATGGGTGAATTCTGTGTCCTCACTGGACAGAAGGGCACACTTTGTTGTTACCATACAGAAGTTTGCATGGTCCCTCCTCACACAGGGAAGTGTGAACACCCAGTCCTCTACTGAGGAGTTATCATCCAGTCACTGCCTGACACAAGGGTAAATGCCTTCTCCTCACATGATCTAATGGTGAAGTCCAAGTCCTAATGTGACAGTGAGGTGAATGCCATGTCCTCATGTGAGACAGGAACCACAAGGGTGGTTCTCCTGTCTTCTTCTTGCTCCAAAAATTCCACCTTCTAATGCCATCCATTTAGATTTCAGGTTCCAACAAGTCAATTCTGGGTGATACAGATAAACCATACCCTGGGAAAGGCCATGTGAGGTCTTAGGGGTGGTAGCGATAGCAGGGGTAGGTGATAGGGAAATCCTTTGTGAGTCCTGATTGAGTTCATGTAGCATTTGAGATGAGAGCATGAGGCAGAGAAACCAGAGCCACTTCTAGTAATGGGTGGGGCAGCATCCCAGGAGAAGCCTGGTGTGCCCCCAGTAGCTCTCTTGGCCCAAGTTGGGTACACCCTTCCCTGTGGGATCAGCAGCATAAGAGGGTGAGGAGGTAATGTCATCATCTGAGCAGGGAACAAGGCAGGGTCTAGAAGATCCCAGAGTCCTGCTCAGGGACCATCCTGTGAATCAGATGTGCTTTCTGAGAAGCTGACCACTTCTGTGCTCCTTTCAGGAAAAACACAAGAATTGCTGACCAAGCCTCTAGGCCTGTTCCAAGAGTCCCTGGGGTTCAGGCCTCACCCAACTCCTCAGAGGCACAAGACACTGTCAAGAGGACAGGTGGACCTCCCTGTTACTCCAACCTTCACAAGTCACCCCGGGTCTCAGCTCCTGGCCCCTCGTGATGGAAACTGCTGAATCCAAAATATTTGAGGTCACATCAGGGCAGGAGGAAGGCAGTGACAAAGAAGGCTCCCTAGAGTCCTGGCTCTGACCTCTCTCTGTGTACCTCAAAGACTGTGTCCATCCTGTAGCTCACAGATCCACATAAGCTCAGGCATATTCCAGCTCCATCACCAGTTCCTCTTCTGAAGCTCACAGAACCCTGCAGGCTGGAAACTTCTGTTCCCCAGAGAGTAGCATCCAGTAGGGATATGTCCTCTTCCATGTCTGTCCCAGGTCCGCTGCAACTGGGCCTCAACTTGTGTAGTGTCCACCTGAAGACAGGGCCAAAGTCATATAACCTACTGTGGCCCTTGCAGTCCAAGCTCTTCTGGCACATTGACAGGCAGAAGTGCCAGGCACATGTTGGGAGAACTTCCCAAGTCTCCCCAGTTCCTAGTAGCCTGTGTGTGGGCTTCCTCCTCCTCCATGGTGCAGGTTGTCATGTTTGCTGCTGGAGCCTGGCACTCCATCCACAGCCCAGGCAGGTCAGCAGCATGCTGCCCTGCCTCCAAGATTGGTAGAGCTCACAGAACACATCTCAGGGGTACAGTTCCCTGACCCTGATGGGATCAACCCAGCCTCATCTGTTGCTGGAAGACTGGATCACCATGAGTCCCCCGCAAGGGTGTGAGCACCAGGCCACTGAATGTCTTTTGTTCCTGGCCTGGTCTGTGTGTGAATTCAGTACCAGCTGTTCCTGTTGGAGCAGATCCTGGCTCCCTGGGCTTGCATGTGCATGAAAATACCAGCTCATTGCCTGGGCAGCCCGTGAGAACATGGAACAGCAATACACATTAGTTTGGCTACCTCAGAGCCACTCAGGGGTACTTCTAGCCTCCTTGTCACCTTGCTAGTTAAAGAGCAATAAAGTGTTTGCTTTAATATGTTTTGGTCCATTCTTGGGGCACACAGAGCCTGAGGTTTGTTCCATTCTTGGGGCACACAGAACCTGAAGAACAGTGGTTCCTGGTGGTTCTCCTTTGGGGCGACAGGCACTGCATCGTCCACCTTCAGTCAGAGGTCCAGGTCCCAAACATTTAATACCTTTTGGGTTACCAAGCCACTAGGGGCCAGGGCTGTGTTGAGTGGTAATAAAGTCTGAGGTGCATGGGCATTGGGACAGTTCATGAGATTCTGTGGAACACACATGTTAGGGTCTGGAGTGACCACATTGCACCTTCTAGGCTGGCCAGCTTCAGTGTCCATTCCTCTGTGGTTCTGTCTCTCACTGTGGCTCTCAGAATCCAGCACTTCTTTTTTAAATATTTTTTTTTAAATAAGAGGCTTCCAGTCCAGTTTGCAAGCTACTTAGGGTATTTCTTTTTAGTCTTTTCTTTTCTTTTATTATTTATTTGACTGATGAGTTAGACAGTAAGAGAAAGAGACAGAGAGAAAGGTCGAGAAAGGTCTTCCTTCCGTTGGTTCACCCCCAAATGGGCTGCCACAGCCAGAGCTATGCTAATCTGAATCCAGGAGCCAGGTGCTTCCTCCTGTTCTCCCATGCGAGTGCAGGAGCCCAAGCACTTGGACCATCCTCCACTGCACCCCCAGGCCACAGCAGAGAGCTGGACTGGAAGAGGAGCAACCGGGACTTGAACCCATTGCCCATATGGGATGCTGGCACCACAGGTAGATGACTAACCAAGTGAGCCACAGCCCTGTCCCAGAATCCAGCACTTCTAAACTCTGATCCTAGGACAGGTCAAAGGTAGCCCCCAAACACAGGCCAGGAATCCAATAGTGTCACAGTGACCCATGATATCAGATTGGTGTTGGTGGTTTATTTTGGTGGCTAGGAACCCAGCTAGGTCCCCTCATGGTAGGAGAGCTCACCTTTGAAACTCAGGCAGCTGGATTCCCCAGCTTATGCATATGTGTGGCACGAGAGGCGATTTCAGCATGGGGACTACTGTTCCTTCATCTCTCCCCATGGGCTGCTGTGATGGGCCCAACATAAGCTTGCCCTCTCTCTTTTTCTTCCTAACATGCAAGTTCATGGCCCTCTGTGCCCCCATGTGCAGGTAGCAGGCCTGGCACACAGGATGACGGCTCAGCCCCTCCTCTGGGCATCTGCAGCCCAGAATGTAGGGGAAGGGGTTGTCCTCAAGCTACACTCAGTGACAATATGAGGTCAACAGAGGGCCAGTCCTGTGGTTAGCTGCTTGGTGGGTAGACAGCACAGAAGGGGGACAGCTGAGGGCAGCGGTGAGCCCCTCTCCAGCAGTAGCAGGTGCTATGTGGGGAAGCCTGTGAGTGCCCTGGCAGGCCAGGGGTTGGCACACAGTTCCAGCCTCAGAAGGTCAGTGGCCGCACTGGACCTGCTTTCCCAGGGTGCCAACATTATCACCAGAGGTGCAGATGGGCATGTCTGAATCTGGACTGCAACTGTAACACGTGAGTCTGAAAGTTCACCCACAGTCACCATAACAGTTGTAATGCACCACACTGATATTAGTGTTGTAAACTTAAAATTGTGGGGTCAAGGAATCCTTTGTTGAAATGGTACCAAGACAAATCTCTGTGAATGAATTGATTTCATTAGGAAAACTCAGTCCCTGATCACCAAATCCACATGCCCCTCTCAGGCACTTCCCTGCCAAAGCTGTGTAAGTCCTGTTTCAGAACACGGGCCTGGGACGGTACGCACACAGGGCTGTTCAAGAAGCCACCACCTGAATCTGCACATCGACTGTGTGTAGTGGAGTCCATCTTATTCATGTCAGCACCCTTGTGCATCAGCTCCAGCACAGCCCTGGAAAATGCCAGGATCCAGCTTCCTGGCACCTGGGCCTCATACCTCCATACTGTCCTGGACTCAGGCAGCAAGTGTAACTTTGGGATCCCAGCACCTCAGTCTGGGATCCCAGCTCCGTTGCTATAGACCAAGTGTGTGCAACACAGGGAACTGTGGGCCTGAATCACAGCCACTCAGACTTGTGACATGCACCACCCTCTGCAGGCTGTGCATTTGTGTGTCCTTCCCCCATTTTCCCTCGTCAAGCAATGGACAGCTGGTGACCGCTGCAGCCTGGCCACTGCTGGTCTTGGACGCTTCTGTGCAGAGTGTGGCTTGCTGGGTTCTGGCAGTGGAACCAGGGAGGAGCCACGAGCGCTGTGCAGGACCTGCCAGGTGTGACTGAACTGCCTGCCTTGGGAGCAAGGGAGGGGCCCTGGCGGGAAGGATCCGGGGAACAATGTCAAAAGCAGGATTTCTGGCCCACCCTGAACCGGTTCTGTGTCCACCTGGTGCCGTCTAGATCCAGCATGGCCACACTCGGGTTCATCTACACCCACACTCCCTACAGGGCAGTTCTGTCTAGAACCACACATGTCTACATCAGCGCTCCCCCAAGCACGCTCTGTCCTGAGCTGCATGCATCCACCTGTGCTGGGTCATCATCCTACCTGAGGCCTGGCCACCTTTGATCTTTGCTCCAGTAGCAGAGGATGGAAGTTGGCGCCAAAGAGAAGTCCCGCCCCTTGGGGTTTCTTATTGGTCGGGCCCCAGTGGCGGCACAGCTGATTGGCTGCAGGACTTAACTGGCGCGTGGACGCTGTCACCTCGGACTGGTGGCCTTCAGCTCTGAGGTGCTTTCAGACCAGGCTTCCATGGAGTTGGGGACGCAGCTGCCTGGAGGAACCTTGAGTCAGCGCGGTCAGCGCGGTTAGTCCTGGGCTTCTGGCTTTCCGGGCCAGTCCAACTGGGCCTCAGCCTCGCAGTTCCTTCCTCTGCTCAGTTTCTGGGGTCCCTGAGGAGTCGCTCGCGCTCACCGCTGGGCTCCTGGGCTTCTGCCCCAGTGCACAGGGTACGTGGGCGCCCGTGGGACCCCTGTGCGGACCCCGGTCAGGGTCCTCATGAGACTTGGCATTGGGCCTCTTGCGCAGTTCCCCATGGCCCTGGCTCAGAGTTTGCTCAGTCTTGGTGCGCGGGGCGCTGCAGGAGGGGTCTGAGGCCCCCTGAGAGGCCTCATGGGCAGCTGTGAGGGCCTGGGAGCACCTGAGGAGGCGTCAGGTGCGGGAGCTGGCCCACCCGTGGGGGCTGCAGCTGAGGGCGCAGCTGGTGATTCCGTCTGCTGTTAGTGCCCATCAGGCCCGACACTGGTGGAAGAAGTGCAGAGTTGGGATTTGGAGAGTGTGGGAAATCATCCCCATCTATTATTATGAAAGAAGAAGGTGGAAAGAATGAAACGTTGGGGAGATGAGTGCTTCAGGAGCTCACTGACCCATTTGGGTTAATTAACGTGGTCCTTGGTAGTTTTACACGCTTCACCAGAGGGTGGTGTGGCTTTAACAGAATGGCATGATCCTATCTGCTTTTCAGTGAATTCAGAATTGAGCCGCCTTCAGAGCTGTTTCTGCGGGTATTTTATTTGCACATGAAGGACATTGAGGAGGAACTAGACTTAATTCTCATTGTCAAAAGGACAAACAGATTCAGAAGACATGACAGTTGATATTTAATAAAGCATGAAGCTGTTTATAAATTCACAGAAAAGATTAATTTTGTTTCAATTTTTAAAAATCCAACAATGGACAGAAAAGTCAGTGATACTGCAGGTCACTCTAGCATGTGAAATTCTAACTGTTTGCCACCTGGTGAGGGGAGACAGCAAGGGAGATGGTGAGGACTGCAGAGCCAGCCCCTTAGGTGACTTTGGGCATGTGATTTGGTCTGTGTTGTGGTCCAGTTACCTCTGAGGTGGAATGGGGTTTATGCAAATGGTGTGCATAACTCACAAGTTTTCTTGATAAAAACTTGGTGGTTTGCAGTCCTTGAAGCCAGCATCCTGTGAACCTTTTTTGTGGCTGGCTATGAAATATATAGTCCCCACATTCCCCCCAACTGTTCTTCGAACTGGCTCCCATCACCTGGGGACATGCACCATTGGCTGTTGGCATGGACTAGGATTTCGTGAATGCTTGTTGCATTAAGCAGCCATTGGGATATGTGCTTGTCAACAATACCTGCACACTGATAGAAAACAGCTACTGTTTTCTCTGCAGTCCACAGGTCGACCGTCTGTTCTGCTGGGTGGGGGCTTCCTGGGCTGGGATGGCCTCTTGCCATGTCTGATGACTGCCAGCTTCCACTTGAGGCATCAGGAACAACTGGTAACTAACAGGCTAGCCAGGCCAATGTGAGCTTTTATATAGTTTTCTTTGTATCCCATTCAGGGAATTAATGCTTTAAGATTCAACTTAGTTGTAGCTTCATTTCTGCTAAGAAGTTGTATACCTGTGGGAAACAAGCCCACCTACCTACCAAAGAATGGACTCAGAAAAATAAAGGAGACATAAAGCAAGTGTTTTATGGATTCCTGATCCCGAGAGCAGTGACCAGCCTATGGAAATAGGCCCCACCCTCAAAAATTCAGCTTTTTATCCTTGCCATGCAGTGGTCCCTTTCCCCTGATCCTCATTGGCAGAATGAAATGGGGGGGTGGAATCTAAACCCAGATGGCCCCCAGGGTGGGGTGGGGTAACAGATGAGTGGGTACCCAGACCAGTTGCTGGGCAGACAGGAGAAGAGGGCTGAGGGGGTCATGTGGTAGTAATGGCAAGGCTTGCACAGTTCCAGAAACTGAGACCCTGGAGCCTTTTGTAAGGAGCACCTGGTGGCTACAGATTACAGCATGGCTGAAGGTGACAAAGATACTCAGTGGTGAGTGGGCAAAGTTTGTGAAGAAAGCTCAGCAGGGGACTGAATTTTGGGTCTTTGCAACTCTGTGTCCTTTGTGTTACTGAGGCCTGGTATCATCGGCACACTAAGGCTAAGTCTTTTATGAAAATACACCTGAGCCATTTATCACAATATCACAGACTATGTCTGTTATGGATCTTAAAAAGATTTATTTGTTATTTTGAAGTCAGAGTTAACACAGAGAGAGGGAGAGTCTGAGAGAAGGATCTTCCAGCTGCTGGTTCACTCCCCAGGTGGGGTCAATGGCCACTGTTGGGCCAGGCGGAAGCCAGGAGCTGGGAACTTCTTCCAGACCTCCCACATGGGTGGCAGGGCCAAGTACTTTGGGCCATCTTCTACTGCTTTTCACAGTTCATGAGCAGAGGTCTGGGTCAGAATTGGAGCAGCCAGGACCAGAGCATGTGCCCACATAGGATGCTGGCATCCCAAGCGGCAGCTTTACCTACTATGCAGTAATGGCAGCCCCTAATACATTCTTATCATAGCATTTGCTATGCAGGAAAGGTAATTTAATTGGCCTTTGACTCTGCTGTATTAAACATCAAAAACTAAAGCAATCCCTCCTAGGGTCTCTGATTCCCATTCTCATTTGTTCATGTATTTATTTTAAAGAATCATTTATTTCTTTGAAAGTCAAGAGTTACAGTGAGAGAGAGAGGGAAGGAGGGAGGTCTTCCATCCTCTGGTTCACTCCCCAAATGGCCACAATGGCCGGAGCTGCACCAATCTGAAGCCAGGAGCCAGGAGCTTCGTCTGAGTCTCCCACATGGGTGCAGAGGCCCAAACACTTGGGGCCAACTTGTACTGCTTTCCCAGGCCATAGCAGAAAGTTGGGTTGGAAGTGGAGCAGCCAAGTCTCAAACCAGCACCCATGTGGGATGCCGTCACTGTAGGTGGAGGTTTAACCTGCTGTGCAACAGCCATGTTCCTCCATTCTCATTTAAAATGCATGTTTAGCAAAGATGTCAGATTAAATTTTCCAGGGTTCAGAGCCCACCAGGGAAATGTGTTCTTTTTGATGAACTTCCTCTCCACTGTGCTTGTAGTGAAGCCTTCCCGGGGGCTGCTGTCTCATGCCATCAGCCACCTGGCCACAAACTGGGGACCATCAGTGCAGGTGAAGCTGGAGGGAGAGCGCACAGCACAAATGTTCCCAGCTGGGAAGATCCTGCCTGTGGCCCAGCTTGGCCTCAGGTTCTGTCAGGACATCTGCTGATTTAGGAAGCAACTGGCAGCTTCAAGGCTCCTCAGCCCCTGTGCCTCTGGCTGAGCTCTACCATACCATCAGGCATTGCAGACAAAGGGACCTGAGCTCCTCACCCTGCCCTTGAGGACACACCACCCACAAAGGTGCATTACCAGTGGGAAATGAATGGTGCCCCGTGAGAGTGATGATGTGGCCTCCTGAGACCCAGCACTGTGCTGTGCTGTGCTGGCACCGAGAGTGAGGCCCCTGGTTAAGAGACCCCCAGGCAGCAAGGGAAGCCCCAGGGAGCTCACCTCCCCCATCTCAGCTGCAGTGTCCATGGTGCAGGAAGGAGCTGGTGACAGGGTCCACAGTAGGACTGAATGGGGTGGGGCACAGATGCAAACACCTGCTTGGATCCTGCACGAGTGAGGGTGGAACGGACCCCAGAAGGATTACAGGTGTGTGCAGGTCCCTGTCCTTGCTCCTTTCTAGCACTACTCAGAGCACAGAGGGGTCTTTAACCTGTGTGGGGAATGGGGCCAAACAAGCCTTTTCTTTGACATTGCTGTCCTGGGGAGAGGGCGTCATTCCTTTAGTGCACATGGGCCTGAGAGGCCTGTGAGGCTCTCGGGTCCAGATCCCTGGAAGTGCAGGGCCCATGGGAGGCAGAGACCCTGGATCCTGGCCAGTGTGTAGGGCTCCATCCCCCAGCCAACCCTCCTCATGGAGGGTGGGCATGGAGGAGAGTGGGCTAAGGACAGAGGGCTGAGGAAGACCAGCTCTGGGGCCTGCTTTCTGCCTGGAATTACCTGAGAAGTGAGAAGCCCAGAGGTGCTGACTGGTCAGCACTTGACGTGCTGGCGACCTGCCGATGAACCAAGCCCAGGTGCTTCCTGGGCAGTGAAGGTGCTGCTGTAATTTAAGATCAGTCACAGCCAAGAACTCTGTGCTTCATGCATATGCAAGGCTGCTCCTTGGTGCAATGCCTCACAGAGCCTGCTAAGGACTGGCCTTAGCTCTCCCCAAGGACAGCACAGGCATGTGCTTCCCTGGCTGTTGGGACAACATGGTCCCAGGCCGTCATGGATCTAGAGTCTCTGGGTGCAATGTAACTAGCTCTGTAAAGGCCCGTGGACTACACATGGGTCCAGGTTGCGTCCACCCTAGTATTCATGGAGTGGATCTGCTCACCAGCTCCTGGGCTGTCTTTAGGACTGTCTGATGCTTGACTCAGAAAATAACCAAGATGCTTTTGAGGCTTGCACTCATCAATGTTTGTTAAAAGCATCCTGGGTGTCAGTGTTGTAGCATTGCAGGTAAAGCTACCAACTGCAGTGCTGGCATCCCATTTGGGTGCCAGTTCCTGTCCCAGCTGCTCCACTTCTGATGCAGCTCTCTGCTAATGCCCTCCGTAATGCAGTGGAGGATGTACCCTTGTAAACCAGCAGATGGAATATGTCTTTGTTACTGATTTTCAAAGAAATCGATGTTTGTTAACGCATCCCAGGCCAGAAAGTGGAGCTGTGCTGTAGCTGCTAGAGCCACGACCTGCAGTGCTAGCATTCCACATGGGTGCCTTTTGAGTCCCGACTGGTCCACTTCCCACCCAACTCTCTGCTGTGGCCTGGGAAAGCAGTGGAAGATGGCCCAAAAGCTTGGGCCTCTGCACCCATATGGAAGACCCAGAAGAAACTCTAGGCTCTTGGCTTCAGGTAGGCCTACCTCTGGCCATTGCAGCCATCTGGGCAGTGAACCAGTGGATAGAAACCTTTCTGTCTGTCTGCCTAAACCTCTGTCTCTCTGGAACTCTGCCTTACACATAAATAAGTAATTAAGTAATACATCTTTAATAAAAATTATGAAAGCATCCCATGCCAATTACTTGGGGAACAAAAGCTGCAAGCAGAGAGTTGTGTGCCAGAGCCCTTGGGCAAGTGGCCCTCACAGCTCTTTAGTGGGGTGGGGAGGAGTTGCAATAGAGGCACCACAGTTCTTGGGTAAAAGCAAGGGCAAAGGAGTGCAGGGGTACTTTTGGAGATGGTTACCATGGTTGGTGTCTGTATGCAGGGCCAGGCCTTATGTTGCTCTGTTAATGAGCCAGGTTTGAAGAGCAACTCACTGGGCCTCTCACTGTAATGAGTCAGGTGTGAATAGCAACTGGGAGTTTTGTTGGCCGTGGCCTCTGGAAAACTCACCTGGTTTCTGGGAGCTTCAGATACTCCCTCTGTAAGTTATTTGTCAGGTCAGTGAGACCAACATCATGGGATCGTTGTGATAACAATGAGATAAAGAGCGGCCAGTGTTGTGGCAGAGTAGGTTAATCCTCCACCTGCAGCATTGGCATCCCATATTGGCACTGGTTTTAGTCCCAGTTACACCTCTTGCAATCCAGCTCTCTGCTGTAGCCTGGGATAGCAGTAGAAGATGGCCCAACTGCTTGGTCCCCTGCACACACATGGTTGACCAGGAAGAAGCATTTAGCTCCTGGCTTTGGATCAGTGCATCTCCGGCCATTGCAGGCAATTGGGGAATGAACCAATGGAAGGAAGATTTTTCTCTCTGTCTTTTTATCTCACTGACTGTAACTACCTGTCAGATAAATAAATAAAATCTTAAAAAAAAACCCACAATGAGAGAAAGAATGTGTTCCCATGATCAGCTGCTTATAGTAGACCAACCTCAAATCCTGTGGTGTGAGAACAGCCACCATTGACCCTGCTGTTGAACTCTGTGATCAGGAGTGTTGGTAGAGAGTAGCAAGGAGTGGCCTGCTCATTGCCAGGTCTAGGGTCTTGCCCACCATAGTATGGCTGGGGTTGGGGGTGGGGAGGAGCTGGGCCTCTGTATCTCAACTCTACCCTCCTGGGCACAGCAACCTCAGACAAGTGATCCTTCCAGAAACCCTAGTGCTCAGGAAGGAGGGGAGACAGGTGTTGACAGACTCTCCTCTCCCAGAACAAATGGGTGGCACCTGTAAGATGTTCCCATGGGAGTTAGGTCATGACCCACTTCTTATGGCTTTTTAAAAATGTAATAGATTTTATTTTTGGAGCACTACAAATAATTGAGCACAAAGAAAGACTGTTTCTCATACTGTCCCTCTGTTAGAATCGGGTAACAATGTGCTGCTGTATTTGTTCAAATCCAAAGCTAAGGTCAGTAATGAGCATCATTACTTAATAAAGTCCACCATTTCCATTAGTGTTTGCTCTTGGTGCTATGCCTTGTGTCTCTGGGCAGCTGTCCTTATACATGAAGAATATGGAATGTGTGTTTCAGGTTGTACAGGACAGCCACTGCCTCAGCTTCTTCCATCTCCTGCTCTGCTCATTTGTGGCCACCACTTATCTCTTTACTCTCTCCATGGTTTAGCCTTTTCCAGAATGCCCCAGCATTGGAATGACTCAGTGTGGCTTCTTTCACTAGGTAATTTCCATCTGGGATTCTTCTGAACATTTTGTGGGAAATAAGCCCACCTCAAACTATCTACCCATGGAAGGATGGACTCACCATCATGAAGGCTGTAGAACGTGAGGCATTTTTTGGTAACAGGTCTCAAGAGCAGAGACCAGCAGATGGAAGAAGGCACTTCCCTCAGAGACCCAGCTCCTGGTATCCCTACGACACCGAGGTCCCTTCCCCCAGTTGCTCTTTGGTTAAGCAACTTGGGAGGTACATTCTCAACTCTGTGTGTGGGGTAACAGGGATGAGTGTTGTTGGGCAGGTATGGGACAGGTGAGCTGGGGAGTTACCTTGTGATAACAGTCACCTTTAAAGGATCTTTAGGAGACTGGTGGACCTGCCCCTGTTAGTCTCCCTCTCTCTGGAGCCTTGGTTATTGGTCGTTGATGTGAGTATTGTGGGCGCAGCCCTTTTCAGCAGTTCTCATGGCTGTCCACAGTCTCGGTGGTCAGGAGCACTTGATAGGAACCCCCACAGCACAGCTAGCTTTTGTCTTTTTTCCAAGATATGTCAATGAGTCAGAGTGATGAATGGTGAACACAAGATTAAGCAGAGGATGTGACTAGAATATATTCTTTTCAAAAGCTGATCTTTGGTTTCCATGGTTGGGATATCGGTGGTCTTGCCTAAGTAAGGGAGTCCATGTAATAGTTCACACGAAGGGCATCCCACCCATCTCAGCCCTTCATGAGACTTTCTTTTTTATTTTTTTAATATTTATTTTATTTATTTGAAAGACATTTACAGAGAGAGGTAGAGGCAGAGAAAGAGGTTTTCCATCCGCTGCTTCACTCCCCAGATGGCTGCAATGGTTGGTGTTGCACTGATCCGAAGCCAGGGGCCAGGAGCTTTTTCCAGGTCTCCACATGGGTGCAGGGTCCCAAAGACATGAGCTATCTTCTACTGCCTTCCCAGTCCATAGTAGCAAGCTAGATCGGAAGAGAAGCAGCCAGGACTAGAACCGGCGCTCATATGGGATGCCGGCACTCTAGGGCAGGGCTTTAACACACTGCACCACAGCGCCAGCCCCATGACCCTTTCTAACAACTGTTGAGGTAAAATGATTCTCATTATCTGAATATTTTTTACCAGACCAAATCTGGGTAAAATTTCTTCTAAGATTATTTTGATAGCATTTCCAGCAGTGGCCATTGTGACAGGAACAGCCTCTACCCAGCCACAGAGAAGGCCTTTAATGACAAGCAAATGTCTCAGATTCTCTGCTTTAGGCATTTTTGTGAACTCTTTCTGGATGCTTTGGAATTACCTCAACCCTGCGGCCCATACCCCGTAGCTGATTTTTTTTAATTTAACTTTTTATTTATGTTGTCAGATTCTACATCCTACACATACCTGTTTGGTGATTGTGTAGATTCACATGCAGCCATAGCTTTTGAGTATTGTATCACACATGGACTGGGGACTCTACTGGCTCCCTCTATGTATTAGGGCTGTCAGTTCCCTCATCATTGGTTTGCTGAACATTTCCCTCCTGTCAGGTGTTACAAATAGCCATGGTGTGTTTTCATAAAAGACTTAGGCTTAGTGCAGCTATGATTCTAGGTCTTAATAACACATAGGGAAAAAAAAAGAAAAAAAAATAGCACATAGGAAGGATGGTTGAAAGTCCACATAGTAGGTCAACAGCTGAGCTTGCTTTACAGACCAGGCACCTCTTGTTAACTTCGTAGCCTTAGCAGTTCTGTAACCTGCAACCACCGGGTGTCTGGTACACAGTGCTCTCAAGTCTCAGGTCCTGGAAGCCTTGCTGTTATCACAGTGTAACTCCCCCACTCCCCCACCCTAAATCTGCCCAACAAGCCTCAGCCCCATTATCCCATGCTTTAGGTATCATGTGGAGTTTAGATTGTAGCTCCCAAGTTGCCCAACCAAAGAGGAGCTGGGGTAGGGGACCTCCATGTGCCAGTAGGAAAGTAGCCAAGGGCCGGCACCGCGGCTCATTAGGCTAATCCTCCGCCTAGCGGCGCCGGCACACCGGGTTCTAGTCCCGGTTGGGGCACCGGATGATGTCCCGGTTGCCCTTCTTCCAGGCCAGCTCTCTGCTGTGGCCAGGGAGTTCAGTGAAGGATGGCCCAGGTGCTTGGGCCCTGCACCCCATGGGAGACCAGGAAAAGCACCTGGCTCCTGGCTCCTGCCGTCAGATCAGCGCGGTGCGCCGGCTGTAGCGGCCATTGGAGGGTGAACCAACGGCAAAGGAAGACTTTTCTCCCTGTCTCTCTCACTCACTGTCCACTCTGCCTGTCAAAAAAAAAAAAAAAAAAAGGAAAGGAGCCGAACCTCTGAGGGAGGCAATGGCTCTTGATGCTGGAAATTAAATAACACCTTCCATTCTGCTTCCTGTCTCCGAGTCCATCCTTGTTGGGTAGGTGGTCTTAGGTGGGATTGTTTCCCACATCAGGGAGTAGCCATTTTTCTTTATTAGTTTGGGTGACCCCTGTTTTACCCAGTTGTTTTTTTCCCTCTTTTGTGAACAGAGGCTTTACTGTTATTGGAGGGAGACTTGGGATTGAATGGTAGGTTTTAATCTCTTTGTTTGGTAAAGATTCTTTAGCAGCTTTATTAGCTGGCTGTTTCCAATAGCTTCAAGGAATTTCTTTCTTTTTTTTCTTTGGTGATCATTTACATGGACCACAGCTATTTCATCAGGAAGAAAAAGACTCTATAAGTCCTGTGTAATTAATTCCTTGTGAACCAGTTTTATCCCATTACCATTTATAAGATCCTTTTCTATCCAGATATTTCCAAAGTGTGTACCATACCATAAGCATCTTTCAGCTTTTTGGCTTATAATGTTTCTGACTTGATGACTGATGTTTAGTGTAAGTGCTCCTCCAAAAGTTAATTTTCAGCTTTCTTCTACCAGTAAGGCCGTAGCAACTGCTTGTACACATTCAGGCCATCCCTCTTAGAAACAGGATTGAGAAGTGTTTTCTCATTTGGTCTTTAAGCCTTTGTAAGAAAACAGAGGGTTTTTTTCTCTTTCTTTTTGAAATTAAAAGGTATGTTTATTTTTTGCAGAAACAATTGAAATCTGAAATTCTGTGTTCAAATACTAAAGTTACTATGAACAAGATAGTAATGTAAACAAGTGTGAAGCTTATTTACTTTTTAAAAAAGATTTATTTTACTTATTTGAAAGAGTTAGAGAGGTAGAGATGGAGAGAGGGGTCTTCCATCTGCTGGTTCACTCCCCAGATGGCCACAACAGCTGGAGCTGTGCCGATCCAAAACCAGGAGCCAGGAGCTTCTTCTGGGTCTCCCAAACAGTTGCAGGGGCTCAAGGATTTGGGCCATATTTACTGCCATCCCAGGCCATAGCAGAGAGCTGGATTGGAAGAGGAGCATATGGGATGCCGGTACTTCAGACCAGAGCTTAACCCGCTGTACCACAGCCCCGGCCCCACTTACTTACTTTTTAAAAAACTTGGTATATAGGGTGAACAGATCTCTTGTGTTTCATATGCACATATTTAGGAGCATAGAGGTACTTCCCACCCTATCCTCACTCCTACCCATGCACCCACTCTCCCTCCTCCTTCCTTTCTAATTTTTACAATGATGTATTTTCAGTTTGTTTCATAATCATAAGATTAATTCTTCATTAAGTAAAGCATTCAAAATAGTAGGAGAAAAGACTGTTCCTTAATGCTAGAGACAAGGGCCATAAACAATAATCAAATCACAAAATGTCACTTTCATTCATATACATTACATTTTTTGTACTCTATTAGTTATCACAGATCAGGGAAAACATCTGATATATCTTTTTAAGACTGGCTGATTTCACTAAAGGTAATGGTTTTTTAGTTTTTACTTGATTTTCAAAAATATTTTATTTTTTATTTGCAAGACAGTATTACAGACAGACAGAGGGAGAGATACAAAGGCCTTCCATCTACTGGTTCACTCCCCAAATGGCCACAACAGCAGGAGCTGATCAGTTTGAAGCCAGAAGCCGGGAGCTTCCTCTGGGTCTCCCATGTGACTGCCCAAGCACTTGGGCCATCTTCTACTGCTTTCCCAGGCCTGACGCAGAGAGCTAGATGAGAAGAGGAGCAGCCAAGGCATCAACTGGGGCCCATGTGGGATGCCAGCACTACAGGCAGAGGCTTACTATGCCACAGCACTGGCCCCTTGAGTCGATTTTTGTATAAGGTATGAGGTAGGTGTCTTGGTTCATACTTCTGTACATGGAAATCCATTTTTCCCATTACCATTTGTTGAAGAGACTGTCCTTTCTCTAGGGATTGATTTTAGCTAATGGCCTTTGCCATTGAGAGTCCCACAGGCACCTGCTCTTTAGCCCTAATGTGAGCCTTCTTCTTGCCACCACCCGCTCCACTGATCAAAGGAGGGACCTGGGGTTTGGCTACTCTTCCGCTTTTGGCCTACAACCAGAGCAAACACAGTGCCTCCTGGGCACCTCCCTGATGGCCCCGTGATCCTGCAGCCCCTGTTGCTCACCTCCTCTGTCTGCTCTGAGCATCTTGCCAAAATGCAGGCCTGACCTTGTGACCCTCTCCTTCCCATAATCTCTGCATGTTACCAGGCCCCTGTTGCTGTTTCCAGTCATGCATTCACATCCAGTAAGATTTCTCTGCTACTGCTCTGACTGGTTTCAGTGCTCTGTGATTCTTGTTCTTCTGTTCGAGCAGGCTGAGCATTCCTAGAACACACTGTTCCCATTTTCCTTCCTCTAATGCCTGTGTCCCATACTTTGCTTGAGCCGTCCTGTGTTCTGGGCTGCCCTACCACCAGTCCTGGGCAGTGGCTGCCCCTGAACCTGAAGTGCAGCATCCTCACCCTGACCCTGGACCTGACCTTGGTACTCCCTCTTCTGTGCTGGCCTGTACCAGCTTTGTAACAGCACATCAGCCTGTCAGTCTCACTCCACCAAGTCCTGCCCCCCCTTGGACGATGCCCACCTTGCTGGCACTTGACTGTTCTATGTATGTGCATGTTTTCAGAGCCGGTGTCTGGAATTGCACTGGACACAGAAGCCTTGTGGGCTAGGAGAGGATGGAGCAGAGAGATTAAGGTGAGAGATCCTGGTGCCCGGTGAGGGGGCTGTGGGGGACTGGGCAACATAAGAGCAGGTGGCTGCCCCCAGCTGCATGAAGGTCCTACAGTGTCAAGGTCCTACTGTGGCTTTCTCCCTCCTGCCTTGCCATTTTATTGACCCTGAGCTGTGCCCTCTGACTTACCGTTTAGAGGCCCGGGGATTGATGGTGAGGGTGTAGACCTCGGCCTCCCTCTGTAATGGAAGGGATGTCTGTGGCCTGGCATAGCCTGGGCAGTGGTAGGATGGATCTTAATGGGGTTTGTATGGGAGGCAATTCCCCCGCTGAAACATAGCTCAGTCTGTCTTGAGAATAGATCATG